AGGGCAGGAGGAAGCTCCAGGGTAGAGGACACTCAAGAAGGGACAGGATGGCCTAGGTATCCCATTCAAGTGTCCCAGAGAACTTAGTATTCATCATTAATACCTTTGCTCAAATTAGTTAAACAGAGCCCTCCCCAAACCTCAGGAAATCTGATTTGTCTGACTCTCACCAGGCAAATTTTGATGGCCCCATAACTGCTGCTTCTTCTTTGGAAATCAACCCATACCAATGAGCCATGGGCATCCATGAGCATTTGGTCATGCCATCCTGTGGGTGAGCCACCTCACCAAGGACCTGTGACTCTTGGCCACATCTGGAATCACCTGTCAGTACTTGTGTGCTTGTACTGTCAATCCCCACACACTTCCCTCAGACTTGAAATATAATAAAACTGGAAGGCTCATAATCCATCCATCCCATCCATCTGTCTGTCTATCTCTTGATCTAATTTTCCACACTATAAATGTCAAAATATACAATTACACATATTTTCATTCCACTGACAGTCAAAAGAACATTGAAAACAAACACAAGCCGTCCATATCTTTGTTTGTTTGTTTTGTGGCTTCTTTTTTCTCCTTTTAGGGAGACTGAACAATGCATGAGTTTCAGTTTCGCAGGCAATTCCTGTACTCTAGCCCCACACAGAATCTTGTTCTGGGAAAGAGTCAGACCGGCTTAGCTGTGGCTGTCCCCATGCGTATCAGTGCTGCCAAGACTTTCACTGTAACTCTGCGTGTTGCGGACACTGCAGTGCCAGGTCAGACCCGGCAGAGCACTGTGGCTTTCATCTTGGCATGGGGAGTGGGGGCTGCTGGGAAGGCAGGGGAGACTATTCTGGGCATGGCACGCGGTGGCAAATGGAAACAGGGAAACCAGAGACAGGCAGTTTTCCTCTGCCATCTGAACAATAATATGATGCAGCAAGCCGAAAGGAACAGGGAGCATTCCGTGCTGAGAAACTGCTCCTATGCTGATCAAAATAGAAGGAGGAAGGGGAGAGATGGCTGTAGAGAAAATGCTCCTATAGGTGGGATTACAGACAGAACACCCAAGGAAAGACTTTTTGCTTGTTTACCAAAAAGAGTGAAATGCACATAGCTTTAGTCCTTGTTCTTTTCCCTTGTCTCACAGGTACTAAGATTTATTAATTTGCTCAAGCTAATAAGCTCGTACCTTGTGGAGCAGCACGCTGCCGCCAAGCTCTGCACCCTGGAACCCTCCCCAGGTCCCTGAAGGCAAGTCCAACTCCTCCAAGAGTGGCTTCTTCTATCCCCTTGTGATGATGTCCCTCCTTTCCACACTGTGCCTTCTCTTCCGGGCAGGAGTGACAAACCTAGTTCAGTGGGCTCCATCCTCTGGCTGGTGACACTGTAGAGCCCTTGAGATTTATATAAGCAGCCTTTTCTTTGTTTTTTTTTTTTTTTTTTTTTTTTTTTTTAACCCGTCCTTCTTCCCCGGAAAATCTCCAGAAAGCAAATAAAAATTCTAAAAATCGCTCACCCTGGGCCCAGCTTCAGTGGCCCTGCCTCAGCTCAATGTTTTAGTTTCTCAGGAAATCAGGAAAGCCAGGATTAATACACGTGATTCCCTCCATGCTCAGTCCAGAGAGCCAGCCTGCTCCAGCTTGTTTTAACTTTAAATTCAGCTTTTATTTACTTATTTATACGTAAGGTACAGACTGCAGCATGAAGATAAAAAAAAAATACGTCTTTTTCCTTTTAGTCTGAATGTCTGTGGGCTCTCCCCTAGGTTCTCTCCCGTAGTACACATGGCACCAGGTGGGCTGGCTCCCAGCAGGGAGGGGAACGGTTATGGGATGGACCTGGAAAGACTGAACTTTCCCTCTGCATCATCCACAGGCTTGTACCAGGACCTTGCAAAAACTGTTTTCTTTAAACCTAAAATTTCTATCAATAATTAAATAACATTAAAAATCAAGGCACTCAGAGAAATTGCTAGCATTGCCTCTCAGGTAGTTTTTTTAAAAACGATCCAGTGTAGCAAGCATTATGCAGGAGCACAAAAAACAGTGCCACAACGTGGGGAGACACTTGGAGAAGGCAAATCTCTGAGGAACTATTCCTCTCAAAATGATACACTCTGTAAAATCACTGGCCGCCTTTTACTTCTTACTGTACTCCCCGCTCCTACAGCGACTCAGTGTTGTTGGATAATCACAGGAAAACCATAAAGATAATGAAAGAGTAGCGGTTGCCAGAGGCTGGTGTGAAGACTAAGATCGATGCGTAGAGCGTGGAGAGTTTCAGGGTGATGAAACTGTCCTGTAGGATGCTATAATGATGGACATGTATCATGACACATTTGTCAAAACTCACTGATGGTACACCAGAGTGAACTCTATTTACACAATGGGCTTTGGGGTAATGGTAAGCATCCATGTAGGGTCATATCTCATCATGTAGGACTTTAATTGTAAAAGAAGCTGTATGCAATTGGCACATAAGACTCTCCACACTTTCTGTGAGCCTCAAGCATCTCTAAAAAATATATAATTTATTTTCAAGATAGGCATAGGACGTAAAGAGACCTGTCTCCAAAAGAAGATATCTCAATGTCCACTGAGGAAACAAAAAGCTGATCCATTTCATTAGTCATTAGGTAAATCCAAATAAAAACCACAGTGAGAAATCGTTATACCATTAAGATGGGTATTTTTTAAAAGGGAAAAAACCCACAAGCATTGGTGATGATAGGCAGAAATTAGAACCTAACATTGCTGGTAAAAATGTAAAATGTTAGAGAAAAAAGTTTGGCCATTCATCAAAAGATTACATATGGAATTACCATACTACCCAGAACTTCTGATCAAGGTCTACGGTTAGGAGAATTAAAGCACAACCCAAAAATCAACCTGTACATGCAAGTCCATAGCAGCGTCAGTTGTAATAGAGAAATTCCATCAAATGGTGAATATATAAAGAAAGTGTGGTCACTGCACAAGGAGACATCATTCAGCCATAAAAAGAACATATGCTGATTAAGTGCTACAACATAGATAAAACTTAAAAACATCATGCCAGACACAAGAGGTCACATACTGTATAAGTGCATTTATCAGGAATATCCAGGATAAGTAAAGCCAGAGACAAATAAAAATAGTGGTTGCCACAGAACTGGGTTGGAGTAGGAAGTAGAAATAATTGTGTCATGGAGATGGGGTTTCCTTTGGAGGTGATGAGAATTTTCTAGAATTATACAACAGTGATTATTTGTACAGTATCATGTGTGTACCAAAAACCACTGAATGATTAAATCATTAAAGTGGCAAGTTTTACCTTATGTGAATTCTACTGACTTAAAATTGTTTTGCATATTCACAGCAGGTAAGGATGCAAGAAAATACTCATAAAAATAAAGTTGTAATCACTTTGTGTCTAATAATCCAAGTCCATTAAAAATCAGCTAGCTGTCTATAGATAATCACCAAGACATATGGTCCATATAAAGTCAAGTCACCTTGGGAACTGGTCTCAGAGAAGTGTTACCAACAAAAGGAGCAAAAAACAGTAATCTAGTCTCAACATAATATGAAAGTATCTTTAATCTCTGAGTATCTTACAAATATCTAGTAATCCCTGAAAAAAGTGATCTCCACCCTGTCACGTGCAATCACTGAGCATGACCTAAGCTACTGCAGAGTCCAAATCCAATCTGTCTTGGTTGAATTTAGCTTTTCTCCATGTTCCCCTGGGCAAGTCATTTATTTAACTTTTCCATGCTCCATTTTCTATAGGCTAATTACAGTACCGATGCTATATACCGGGGCTGCTGAGGGTTACATATGTTAATGGAACTTGGCATAACCTGAACCCTCAATAAACGTTAGCAAACAAAACCGTCCTCTTGTTCCCCATCACCCTTAACACTCAGCATCTTCCTTCCTTTTCTTCCCCTTAAACTCTACCCATCAGCCCCATGGATTCCCCTTTCTGCTTCTGTTATCTTGTAGGTGGCTAGTAACTTTTGCTTTTCACAAGACAACCTAGTAAGGCCACCATGATCCCCCCTTTCTGTTCCCCTCCTCCTTCCATCCTCTACAGGAGCTCAGTGCTCAGCATTCCCCTTAGCAGGAAAAGGAGGAATCAGTCAGTGGCTGTGTGTGCTAAAGGGAACCCTTAGCAGGGGGAACACCTCCCACAGGAGGTGAGAGGCAGCCATGTTCCTTCTGCGGCCACTAAGGTGTACCAAGTATCACTGTGTGCCCAGCATTGCACTAAAGTTTTCACACTCATTCAAATGTTGTGTTTTCCCCGATTTTCTAAAATGTTCACAGTAGATATGTTACTTCTATAACCAGAATATTTACCTTCCATAAACATGTATTCACAAAATAGGGGCACTATTAAGATGAAAGTCAACTTGTTGAAGATTGTAGGAACCACTATAGTAGTTTTTGTTTTGTTTTGTCTTTGAGGCACAGTTTTACTAGATAGTTAAGGCTGATTTTGAACTCAATTTGTGGTGCAGACTGGCCTCCAACTCATGGTGATTTTCCTGCCTCAACCTCCTGGATGCGAGATTACCAGCATATGCCACCACATGAGGCCTTATGTTGTTTAAAGTGTAGAAAATGCTTTATCTGGAAAGGTGAGGCTTGGCATAGTCAGACACTGTAGCTAACTTCAGCTTTCTGAAAGACAGTGGGAAGAGGACTTGACCTTGGTTCTGGTGAGTTCGAATCAGTGAGAAAATTCTAGGGAAGGAATTTGTTTGCTCTATTTATAATGTTCGTTTAACAATTCTTTTCCAAATGGCAATTTGTCTAAATCAACAAGTACTATGGATTTGTGCATCCAGAAGAAGACTGGAGGAAAAAAAAAATCTAAGATCATTTTTAACTTCGAAAATATTTGACACTGTGTGTTACAGTAATGCAGGCCGATCAGTAGAATCAAGAGGGTTGGTGCGTGTGTGTGTGTGTGTGTGTGTGTGTGTGTGTGTGTGTGTGTGTGTATGTGTTGTCTGGGTAATCGAGGAGTGACATGCTTCTGGGTTGCTTCGGTGCAAAGCTAAAGCGTGTTCTTAAGTAACAGTGCGGCTTGCAGCGAGAGGCCTGTTTATGCAGCAGCTGGGGAGATGACAGGCGCCGGATGGTCAGGGCTGCTGTCCCGGCTCAGGTGAGTCGCACCGCACCCTCCCTGGCGGCTCCCTATTAGGGTCGCTTGCATAATTCCTTTCCTGCCGGAGGCTCTGCTGTTCCCTGGGAGCTGGGTATCCTGATCCTCGGGTCCTCTCTCTTCAGAACTGAGCCTCTGCCGGTTCACTCTCTCCAGCACAGATCTTCACGGATTGCTTTGCCTGGGTCCCAGCCGCCCCGTGTCGCCGGCTGTCACAGAGTCCTCGTCGCCCAGCGAGTGCTCGGCGGGTCTAGGGCTCCACATTTCGGGCGCACAGTGCGTCCCTCGGGTAGGTGCCCGGGTCCCTGCCGCCCCCACCCGCTCCCGCCCCCGCCCCCGACCCCGGGAAGCCTGATGGGGCCGGGGCCGGTTGGAGCGGTCCCAGAGGCGACGGGAGAGCGCGGGGGCGCCGTCTCCACCATCGTCTCCACCGCGCCCGGCCTCCGAGGAGCTGCGATCCGGCGCTCCAGGGCGCGAGGGTGGGACGACCAACGCGGACCCCGGGAGAGCTCAAAGGGGACGCGGCCAGGACCCTCGGACCCCTCCTAGGCCCTGCGGGACCCCCGGACCCCAGGTACCCCCAGATGAGCGCACAGCTGAACCGCGCGCGGGTCGGTGGCGGTGACGGTGACAGTGACGCAGTCGTGCGCTAGGTCTGGGGTCCCGAGGCTGCGGGTGGGGTCCAGCGCCGAGGTCCCGTGGGAAGTCCCTGGCCGCCCTACAGGGGGCGCCGCTTTCGGAAGCCCTCACCTCGCCTCGCCTCTTTCTGAGCCCATCTAGCGTCCCCCTGGCGGCGGCAGGTGCAGGGGACCCGGGTGGGCTCGGATCGCGGGGTGCGGCCCGCACCTGGGGACTCCGCCCTCAGCTCCAGCCCTGATCGATTTAGATTCGAGTTCCTAAGAATTACCAGGGCTGGAAGCGGGCGGTGGGCGCAGCAAGGGTGCGGGTCTTGGGCGCCTGGTACTCCGCCCTCAGGGGCCTGGTTTTTATTCCAGTTTAGGGTTTTTCCAGCCGGCTATGCTCTCTTTCAGTCCCCTCTGATGCAGTGGAGTGTGGCCGGACATCTCCACGCAGCTTGCAGGGAGAGGACAAGGGTCCAAGGGCGTTTAAAGAGTGCACTGTCAGCCTGGGGGTTTTGTTTGTTTTGTTTTGCTTTAGTGAGAAAAAACATTTCCTGGGCGCCTTTGCGTTAAACCGCCCCCTTATTTCCCAGGGGCAGAGATGAAAGGATGCCACAACCTTTGACTCCCACTTCTCCGTCCAGCCAGGACGCACTCGGGTAGGCTGAGGCTTCAGGAATGTAGGACATTAGTACTGTGCAGCTCAACTTTCACACCTGCACTGCTCTCAGTGACACTGACTTCAAAATGCAGGGCAGATGTGGCACAGAGACAGGGTGACACTCCCCAGCTATCCGGCTGCCTACATCTGGTGGCACAGGGAAGATAGATGGCTCTCAGAAGCCGAAGGCCGGGAAGCAGGCAGGGAGTGGACATTTGGCTGATTTCAGCGCAGTCATTGATTTCCTTACCCTCAGAGCTATTATATTAAGTGCGATCAGTCTTTGAGTTCTATTTATCTCAAATGTGAGCAGCACTTTGCTTTCCAATGGACTGAAAATCGAATCAGCAGTTATTGAACAACTATTGCCTGAGTCCAGGCCTAGAACTGTCCTGAATTAAGGGACAGGATTTCAAAAGTGCTGAAAATGCCCAAAATGCATGCGTGCATAGGTCCCACAGACCCTAGAGGCAAGCGGCCCTTTCCTAGGGACGAGGTTTTAACAATGAATGGGGACTGCGGGCTTCTCACCTGCAAGTTTTCATCACACACTTTCAAGAACCACTTGCAGAATCATTTAGACGTAGTCATGATAGTGCAGGAACTAGCGTTCTCTTTACAAGACCAGCTCTGACCTGAGAGAGGTCTTATTGACCTGTTCCTTTTTCCTTTCTGTGCCAACCACTCGACTCATGCACCCACTATGTGCTGTGCAGACCCTGTACCAGGGCTCAAAAGAACAAGGCCTGTATTCCCCAGAAATCAAACTAGCAGAGTGGAAGGATGGGGGAATAGATGATAGTGATTCCACCTGGTGCACGTATAGTACAAAGTAGTGGGAGCCCAGGGAAAATGGGGTGGCAGGGATCAGGAACAGTCTGTAGGAGGCACGGGGTGGGACTGGATCTGAGGGGGTAGTCCGAGTTCTCTAGAGCAGGGATCACCTAGGGGTCTGAGGTGCGGGTGCTGGGAAGATGGAGGAGGTCGCAGTCAGCCTGGGCCAGGCTCTGCCCTCGAGGAGGAATCTTGCAGACTTCATGCGAGAATGATTTAATTTAATATATAGTTTGAAAAATGACTTTGTAGGTGGTGAGCTCAGATTGAAAGAGGACAGGCAAAAAAAAAAAAAAAAAAGTGCCACAGATTGAAAGACAGATCTACAGAGAGCTGTGTAGAGGGAGAGTCTGTGCTCCTTGGTCACCAGGTGGGCAGAGAGCTGAGGGGAGGAGCTTAGACATTGGGATAGATGCTCAGGCTTTTAGCTGAATCAGGGCACAAAAGAGAAAGAGCAAATTAAGATAGGGAATTTTCATGTTGAACATCTGAATGAAATTGCTCAGTAGACACTTGTATTTCTTCCAACCTGGCACTAATCTTTGACTGAGCTTCCTTACCTGCGACCTTTGGAGAAGCAGAAGGTGAACCAGGGAATGGGAAGTTGCTTTCACTTTTACCCAAAGAATGAATGTGTAACTCATTCATTACAACTTCCCATCCGGGGCTGTGTGTGAATAGTGATAATAATGTCTAACATTCACTCAATGCGTCCTATGCACTGAACACATGGAAGTTACACTTGTCTATGGATTATCACCTTGGTCTTGCTTTTAACCTATGGCAGGCGCTGCTATCATTGTCACATAACTGAAAAGGAAATCAGGGAAAGGTGGAGGTGCCTTGCAGGTCACTCGATTAGTGAAAAGTGCTTCAACTCAGTGTTGAAACCCGTATCTGACCAAGGCTCTGAATGGCCGAAGTGACTCACACAGTAACACTGAAATGATTCCTACTTAGCCTGGAATGTGTTTTGTCCCTATGTTTGGGTATTTGTGGCTGGTGCCATAGAGGAGAACTGGGACTCAGTCAAGAGGCCTGATAGAGTATAGCTTTTGTAAGCTCACATTCTGGCTCAGGCTCTAGTTATTTTAAATCCGTGTAACCCCAGGAGAAGATACCAGCTCAGTGCTCTGTAAGGAGTCTCTGTATCCTCAAATCTTGCCACCCAATTTAAGATTCCCCTAACAGACCCATCAGTCTGGCTTAAGATGATGCCTACCTGGTCACTCAAATAGCAGTTTGTTCTTAACAGCTTATGTGAATTGGGGTGCCTGATGCTGGGGAAAACCCTGCATGGATCCTAAAGAGGGGTGTCTTTGAAGTCACTGACCACTTGAGATGTGCTCCTTAAACTTGGTGCATTTTCTGTTCTCTGAAAAACTGGATAATTGATGTACATGTCTTAAAGTTAATGTGAGGATGGGAACAGAAAATGTAACGGAGACACTGTTTACAAATAGGCCTCATTGACCATACCCAGAAAATGGGGTCCCTACCCTCTATTCCCAGGGTAGCAGACGTGTAGAAAAGGAAGGTGCAGTGTTTCTGAAGATGTCCTTCCTGGGAAGTTTCCATAGGTACCGGTCCTTTGTTAAGTATCATCTGCCCATCTTAGAAAAATAACACACATTGGGAATATAAAACACAGACAACACATTAAATACCTTTCAAAATGAGAATCTTTTAAGTACTTATTAAAGTATCACCCTCTTCTATGTAAGCAACGTTTTACCTGCCTGAATTTTGGATTCTTCTTTTTCTAGTCTCTGAGGAGGCCGGGTTGCTGTAAAAGCAATGTTACTGCCTCTTCTTGAGAATCCTGGATTCCATTATTGTGGTGTGGACCCCGGAGGGGCTGAATAACTCACTGTTCTGTGTCCTATCATCCTGAGGCCCTTTCTGCCTCTGACTATACAATGCTAACTATCCCTGTGTTATCAAATGCTAGGTGCCCTATCTTGTAGATTAAATTAATTAATCTAGTTGAGGAAAGACTGTCAAACTTCACTGAAACTGCTTTTTAAATATAATAAGTTATGTGACTACGAATGGCACATTCTAGAAGTTAAGAAATGCTTCCCGAAATAGCTCTAATTCCTGCAATTCAGAATAGTCAGAGAAATAGTTTCTGTAATGGAAAGGGAAAGGGCTACATTTTCCTATCTGATCTCCCTGTGTTTAGCACACATTGAAACAAGGAAGGAGACAGGGTTCTCAAGCTTTGCCAAAAAAAAAAAAAAAAAATCATGCATTAAAAACACACTTTCATGATTCTTTTTGGACAAAAGAATAATGTAGTTTTTAAGCTCCATGTAGCATTTATTACTCTCGCCTTAGTTCTTTGTGTGGAAATAACTGCTTTGTGCGTTCATGTGACAGTTGTGTCTGCCGAAAAGCTTTATAAATATTCTGGGGCCAAGGGCTGTGCCTTGAACTTCTCATACCCTGTGAAAAGCATGACGTTGGCACGAAGAGGCTGGAATTCCAATCTCAGGGCTGTCACTTCCCAGCTATGTGACCTTGAGCTTCCCATCAGCCTAATAGTCACAGGAGCTGGCATTTGTCACACGCGGCCTCTGTGCCAGATGCTTTGCTCAGCACACTACATACATTGTCCCATTTAATCCTTATGACAACTCCTGGGTGGGGTATCATTGTCACTCTTTACAGAGGAGCACACTCTGAAGGGGGAGGGTCTCTGAGTGACAGTTACCTATCTGATTTGGAAACTAATCTGTGCCCTCCCCACATCAGGCTGAGTCTGTGCCCCTCGATGGGAAATACACTGAGAAAGGTGGTCTCCTCATCCTGTCCTTCAGCATGAAAAACTCATTTCCTTTGAGAGTCACTTATTTTGTAGTCAGTACCAACAGAAGGCTGAGCTCGGCCAGCAGGAGGCTGACATGACCATAACCTGGATCCAGCTGTTGAGGGGGAAAGAGAGGCGTGTGAAGAAGTCAGGGCTGGCAGGGTTTCAGTGCCAACAGAGAAGGCTGAGGGTCAACACCAAGGTCAAGGAAGAAAGGCCCTGACACAAGGGAAGTAGTCACCAGGATTCAAGTCAGTTGAGTGACAAGGAGGATGCAGAATCTGCTCGGGAGAGGGTCACAGTCCCCAGTCCCTATGGACTGCTGAGCTCTGTCCACTCAGCAGGACAATGAGCATCCTAAT